ATGGTACCCATATAGATCTGCATATGGGCACCATATGGGTCCCTTATGGGCTTGTTACCTGGGATGGGTGTCCTTGCCGGCTGAGCAACCCACCTCCACTGGATTAATATAATATATGCCATGCAGTCGATGTCAGTGACACGTTATGCTGTTATGTATCAATAAAGCCCTTTTTGGATCAGGGTGCTATAGAGCGAGGACGCTACTGGACCATATGCGTAGGGGCACCAAAGTGGCCCCTAAGAGTTGGTGGCCCTGAGGACCGCCACACGATGTGCATGCGTTACGCCACTAAGCATGGATAGCTGTTCTATAGCTGGTATTCCGGCTAAAAAAACTCAGTCTTTGTTCTCCGTCTTTTGACATTTTTTACATCCTGATTTATGAAATCGCTGTAAAAAATCACCGTCGGCCGGGGATAGTAGCATAGTGTTCTTCGTCAATCAATAACAAATTCAAAATTAGTGAGTGGTAAAATAATCGAGCTCTCCTTTTGCCCACTGCTGGATATGCCACTGAACTCACGGTACCTTTTTTCTCCTTACCCCCTCCCCCCGCTATCATTATCATCATTATTATTAATCATTCACATCATCATCTCCATATCAGCATTATAACCATTGAATACTACTTAAGCATTTTCCTCTCTTCTTTCTTTTTATTATTTATCGCTAAATTTCAATCTTCAAAAGGCGTAATTACAAAAATACAAGCTCAATAATACAAATCTATTTACCATTTTGATCATTTTCTTGTTGCTATGAAACTTATCATTTATTGCAATAGACCTAAATATTCTTATTACACTATAATCATTATTATTGCTACTATTATTATATACATGTTTCTCATTCCAAAGTGACAGTCATTGGTATCCATAAATTACAGCTATATATAACTTAAATATTATGGGAGAAGAAATGAGGCTAGAGCCCCAGCCCACCCCCGCCCCCAAAGGGACAGAATAAAGGGAAAGGAGGAAGTGGGGAGAGTAAAAAATCGTATCGAAAGCTCTGCATGATACCATTTCTCTATGTACTGTACTCTATAAAAGCGATCGTATTTTACAGTCGACTATACCACACCACAACAACGCACACACATGGCCCTTATCAAAATTATTCACTGGATCCGGCTGGGTTCAGTAGTTGAAACCCAAAAAATGGAAAAACAAATCATATATTTAAAAAATATCGATTAAAAAACGAAACATGTAGCCTTTAAGTACACTGAAACAAATGAAAATAGACATAATTATCAGCAAATCTGATGTACGTATCCAGGTATTCTTAAGACATATCATTTCAAAAGATTGTAAAAATAAAGTGGAAAATATAATGAAATACTGTAGGCCTACTGATAACTGAGCAAATAAAGTAATTTTAGGCATCTAAAATTCAAAGCGTGTCTGGGAATCCTTATCCTTAGGAGCGGTTGGCGCACCGGTTGTGGCTTGGACTCCCAATCTTGAGGTCGGGGGTTCGAAACTCTGGCTGTGCAAATCGCTGGTGTCCTTGGGCAAGGCACTTTATCTACGGTTGCCTCTCTCCATCCAGGAGTACAAGTGGGTACCTGGTAGGTTCCAACACAACCTGCGCTGATTACTAGCTGCAATTTATGGAATAATATAATTTCATTTATTAATTTAATTTGGTGTTTCAATGTGTTCCATATGTGTTTGATCCAATGACCGGGGTAGTAATGTGAAGCGCTTAGAGGCCTTGTAAAGGCATGAAGCGCTATATAAGAACGAAATATTATTATTATTTATTATTATTATTATCATAGCCTACTGTATGCGCAGTGACGACACGTTTAATATACATAGTTGCCATCTAAAGTTTATTATGCCGTTATTTCTTTGTCGTGTAGTTTATAAGAAGGCTTAAGCATTTACATCGACGGAATCCCAAAGCCTACCGAACCGATCATAGAATCGGATCAGCATGTAAGAATAGGGCCGCCGGCGTTCGGCGTAACGGAAAAGCGGTCCAAATTTCAGATCAGACTCAATGTGAATGCAGCTTTAAAAGAGAGGGCGTAGTTGAGAATACGTGCCGGTGTAAGTGATCTGAATGAGTTTCTGTTTCTTGTATCTCTTGTATTAAAATCGCAACCAAGGCTACATTATAGGCCTATTTACAAAAATACATATTATACAAAATATAAAACATTAACCAAGCATTAGTACAAGACAGGAAAAGCTACATTAAAATTGAAAACATCAGAAATTCACGAAAAGTAAAATATTATATTATACAGTACTGCATCAATTTAAAATAATTGTTTCATTATCGAATTTACAAATACACAAAAAAAGAAAATCCATGCATTGCACAAAATTTGATTCAGTTATGATGACGTCAGTGAGTCAGTTCCATGACGTCGGTTGAGTGTTGTACATGATAGTACAGTAATATCTAACCATACCTGTTTCGCCTTTCCATGCCTTTAGGCGTATTAGTTTAGTTTATAAATCTTAGCCCCATATATTTGTCAATGTCATTTAAAGAAGCACCAGCAGCGTGTAGCATTGCTCTCACTTTCTTCCATTCGATCTCAAATTCTTTATTTGTCATTTTACTGTTGGCAGCATGTGCAAGCGTTGTGTTCCTGTAGCGATGGATGTGCACCAAGCTAGGCAATCTATCTGGATCTTTCCAAAATGAGTATGGAATGCTACAACAGTTACGGATTATCAAATACATAATTGAGATATCGAACGTGTCAATGTCAGCTGTTGGTGTGAACATCTTTGCGTTCTGCTCAGGAGTAATTTTTACATTTTTGAAGCTACCTTTTCCTTTCTCATTCATCAGATATCGTCCAACTTCTTTTTTGTCTAGTTTAGTAGCCTTGTTTTGTTTTGTCTTGCCTTGATTAGCAACCTCCAAGAAGTATTCCCTCATAGTTACAGTGCCGACATCAACGACAGCTGATAGAATAACTTGGAAATTTCTGATTTCTTCAACGTTTTCCTGCTCAAATCCTATTTTAAATAAAAATTAGCAAATACAGTATATACAAATTTTTAAATCAAGTGGTTACTCTATGTTATAGTTGGTTTCAATGGCAATACGTTTAGTTGTAATCTTAATTATTCCTTCTTTAGCAGTTTAGTATGTTATATTAAACTGCTGCCTGATGGAATATAGAAATTAATAATATCAAATTCATTTGTTCCATATTTCAAAGTACAAATTCTATGAAGTAAGATTTACCTCTAACTGGTTGTGCTATGCTTAGCTTGTGGTATTTCTCAATGTCTTCATTGGTAACTCCGATATTTCTAAAGATCGTGGCAAGTTCCTTCCACTGTTTGTCAAACTCTACATCTGTAGTCCTGTTGCTATGACTGCAGTCTAGAGTGCTTTCTTTGTACAGTTGAATGCGTCTCAAATTTGCCAGTTCGGATTTGTCTTGAACATCTGGTGGATTCTCCCAGAATTTATCGCCTTGAAGATTAAAGCAATGTTGAATTAAGGACATCAGGATGGTAATATCGAACGAGTCGATGTCCACATCGTCAATGAAGATCTTTGTTGCTTCGTCTCCAAAGTCTACATCCCTTAAGGGTCCATTTTTTCTCTGCCATGACAGAAACTTTCCGACCTCATGTTTGCCTCTCAGCTTACCTTTCCTCATGAAATACTTTCGCATTTGCTCAGTTCCCAGGTCAGTGGTTAATGCTTGGAGTGCGTAGGAATTTCTAATTTCTTTACTGAAGCTCAATTCTACAAAATTAATACATAGATTATAAATTTTTAAAATTACAAGACATTTTTTTACAGCAATGTTTGTACACTTTGTATTAAAGGCTGCATGTAACTGATTAAGTTTTGTATGTTGAGTAGTTGGCGAATATTAATGCAAGTTTATTAAACAATACTTACATTCGTAAACAATAAAATTAATACCGTAGTCCTTGTGTATTAAATATATTTGTACCATTGTCAATGTTGAAATACAATCAAGTGAAATACTGAAATATTTACTATCATCAATTATTATCAATCTAATCATGCAATATATTAAAGTATTCAGGTTTATCAATAACTGATTAGTTTTAATACCTGCTTTGAAATATAACCGAATCTTAGCAGTTGACATAGAACATGTTCCACATGGAATTGAATCATACTTTAAGCAATCGTCTAAATTTTGGAGGTGGCGCTGTCCCTGTCCCTGGTTTGAACTAACTGAGCAAATTGGACAAAGAATAGTGAGGGTGCAACCGACATCACCCTTAGCAGGATATAAGTCAGTAAGATGACGCTTAAGCACATGTAAGATCTGTCAAATGAATAAAATAAGACAAATGTCGTTTATTATATACAATACTATAAAATGCATGATGATAAATTGTTTATTTAAACAATAAAGCTGTTAGTAAGGTTGCATGCCAACATTCATACCTTTATTTGTATTACAAGACAAATACATATATTATTCAAGAGCAACATAAGTACTATTTTGTGCACATTTTAACATGAAAATTAGAATTTTTCATTTACAATTATAGGCAATTCCAATATCCAATCAGACGATAGACCACTTTTTCTTAACATAATAATGTAAACTATTTGGACTACCTATGCTAGCCAACCAAAAATACAATACTCAATCTAGCTACACAAAATATCTAAAGAATTACCTCCATGCAGGCGATAGGTTCTGGCTTTGATGCTGGTTTCCTTTTACCGTTTTCATCTATCTCTGTTCTCCGTGTTATTTCCAACTGTTTAGAAAATAAGAACTTACTATTTAGAAGTTGTCAATAATTAAATTATATTACACTTAAAATAGGAATTTTTTACAAATAAAATATGCTAACCCATCATTGCCAATGTAATCACTGTCACCACTTTTATGACGTCATCATCATCTTCTGCTGCGCACATTAAACATCCAATAATACAACTTGAAATAGTTCTACTTGCTTTTGCGATTATCGCGCGTATTCTCTAATGGTCAATGGTTATAAGCACATGTGCGTACAGGAGGATACGCTCTGTATCTTTAGACTATTCCAATATTTTCATAGCTCATTATGCCTACACTTCTATTTTAAAATCTAACACACATTTATTATATATATATATATATATATATATATATATATATATATAT